TTCTCTCCCTCTCTTTCTCCCTCCCTTCCCCTCTGTCTAAAAATAAATAAATAAATAAATAATAATATCTTTAAAAAATAGACACAAACGTTAATGGGAAAGGCTAACATAACCCTTGGAAGAGCTAACAGAACCACGCGAGAGTGCCTGGCGTACCCACGGATTCAGTCATTTAGGAGCACGGTGACAAAGGAGAGGGTGGCCAAGGGACAAGGTCAACAGTGTTCCAGTCGGAGGACCCCAAAGATAGTGGACGGCACGATGATAAAATGAGCATCCATTGTAACCACCCAAATGCCCGCATTTATCACAAGAGAACGGATTCGGCGGGGATTCCAATGGAAGGCAACATCGGGCGGGTCAACACGCCCCTGATGAGTGCCTGGTGTGTCCACCCGTGACTGGCTGCCATATTCCGATGCACGGCCTTTCTCTCCCTACGTGTGTTTGTTTTACCGATAAAACGCTGTGATTCGGGGTGTGTTTCCCATCCCTTGGGTCAGAGGACTGTTTTTTTCTTACTTTTCCTCTACCCTCTGCACTTTCGGAGTGAGGACTAAAATCACGTCCTCTCCTGAAATCCAGGCCACGTTAACGAGACGGCCCACTCGTCGGCCGGCACTGGGGTTGTTCCCGTGTCTCGGTTCTTGCGAACCAGGCTGCGGTGACCACGGGGTTCTGGGTGTCTCTTCCGGACCCCGGCTGCATCTCCTCTGGATGCGTGCCCGCAGAGTGGGGTTGCTGGGTCCTGTGGAAGTTCTGTCCTCGGTTCCCTGAGGACACTCCACACCGCTTTTCACAGCCGCCGCTGCTGCACCGGTTCGCACTGTCATTCGCAGCGAGTGTTTCCTTTGTTCCACACCTCCCCCCTTGTCCTCGTCGCTTTCCCAGCAGTTCAGTTCCCACAGGTGTGAGGCAATGTCTCATTGTGGTTCTGATTTGCATTTCCCTGTGATTAGTGATGTTGAGCATCTTTTCCTGCACCTGTCGGCTATTTTTATGTCTTGATTGTTAAAAGTGTTTATTCAAGTCCATTCTTTAATCGGGTTTTTTTTTGGGGGGGTTCTCTTGAGTCGTATTCATTTCTTATATATTTTGGGTATTGAACCCATTATCCAATATGTGGTGCGCAAATATCTTCTCCTGTTCTGCAGGTTACTTTTTCATTTTGTTTATTATTTCCTTTGCTGTATGGAAGGTTTTTTACTTGATGTAGATTTTTCCTTTAACTAACTGAAAAATCTGTTGGATTGTGCACATATCTGGCAAGTTTTGTCATTTACCGGTGGGAACTGGTAGTCATTCAGCCAAGCAAAGCCTCACGCCATTAAGGTTTGATGGTAAAATGAGCAGTCGAACTACTGGGCAGCTGAGGACTAATAATAACCCGACTAAAACCACAAAAGTGGTTTCCAAGTTCGCTGACAACCCCAGGCACGCCGAGGAGCCTAGCTCTGCGCCAAATGGTCCACAGGCCGCATCTCATTTGATGTTCACAGTAAATGAGATCCGACGCGGCTCGCACAGCCCCGAGGCCGCACGCACAGCCCGCAGAGGCCGAGGCCCGGCTGGGAGAGGGAGTCCCAGCGGCGCGGAATGCGAAGGCGGAGGGGTTAACACTCAGCTCCGAGTCCGTGCGCCTTCAAAGACTGTGCCCTGCCCACCTGTGGTGCTGCCGTTGGGATTTATTCACTCACTGGTTTATGGGACAGGCTCTGCTCTGCACGGGGAAATAAAATAGGCCGAGTGCGCATGTTCCTGCCCCCTTGGGGCTTAGACTGGTGGACGAACTACCCACCTGGGTTCCGCGCGTGCCGCTGTTTAAGAGTCACAGTGTGGACAGAGCCGAGCTCCCGTGCAGCGCCCGACCGGCCAGGACGCTCTGATTTCGCTATTACTGTCCTACGTTGTAGCGCAAACCGGTGTGGCTCGTGACAACGCTACCCGAAATGGGCCATCAGCCACTGTCATCGGACGGAGAGAGCACCCGGTGCCGATGACATCCTGACAGAACTGTACCAGCGTGACCACGCACACGGTGACATTGCAGTGGAGCTGCGCGTTGCACGGGACGCTGCGCCCGCAGCAAACCGAGCAGGCGGGGTGCGCTCTCTGGACCACTGGGGCGCAGCGCGCGTGTCCGCCGCTGGGAAGATGTTAACATGCATCATGCTCCGTTGATGAGCCCGACACGTCAGAGTCATGCATGTTTGACCTGGAACTCAGTGCGCCTTTCACTGTAGTCACGGAACGGCGGTCACCCTCCCTCCCTCCCTCCGCCAGCGGCAGAGCCGGCGCAAGAACAGCGCTCTGAGTTGCCGGATGCGTTTACAGCCTTAACCCAGGTCTCTCCACAGCAGCGCTGGTGTGCAAGGGGGCGGGGGCGGGGGAGGGGGGGCTCCACAGCACCCAAGCTCCCGCCTCACTTTCAAAGCACAGTGCCCGTCCAGCTATGGCAATAAGGTAAAAACGGAATTCCTTTCTTGCTGTTTTTTTTTTTTTAGCAATGGTCTTTCTGGGGATCACACCGTTAGTACTGAATATACTTAGGAGTAGGTTTCACTTTGAATACTGGCATAACCAAAGGGCTGGAAGTGATTAGTGTGGGTGTTTGTTGTGGCACTGTGTGCCTGGTGACGGGACGCTCGTGCAGGGCCGAGAAGGCCGCACGTCACTGCCAACACAAACCCGCGTTGCACTTTCCGTTCATTCAGTGGCTGTGTGAGGGGACTTACGGAATAGACTGGCAAATAAAATCGCTCCCCTGGTTATCTTAGCGCCTGTGTCTCGGGACAATAGCCCGAGAACCACGGCTGTGCTGCTAAAGCCCACTACTTATGATTCTTACCCTGAAGATACGGTGGGGGGGGGGTGCGTTTGTATCATTTCTTCACTATGCGACTCAGATGTGGGCTTTTGCTGCTGTTACTCATTCATTTCTCCATCGCAACGAACATTTCAGCGTGTCCTACATATTTGTGCCACTAGAGATACGAAGATAATTAAGACAGTCTCTCAGCTTAAAGGCCTCACCACCTGGCTGTTAAAAAGCCCTCGTGAACATAACACTGTACACTGGGAAAGTGCAAGTGCAGACACAGGCTTTGGGCATCGAGGGGGCATAGACGTCCTGCGTCCAGTGCAGCCTGCAGGGGGCGCCGGGGAAACAGGGAGCAAAGTGGGCAATCTGGGAGGGCTTCCCAGAGGCGGTGGCAGATGGGCTGAGGCTTTAAGGGAAGTATAACTTCACCCCTCCAAGGCGATGAGGGATACTTTTGTCCATAAACAAAGTCCGCATTACTTATTATTCACAAATCATGTATATGTCAGCGGGCCATTTGTTCTCATTGCAGCCCTGGGAGAAGAAGTGATTGTGAACTGAACTAGAACAAAGACAGATGCAAGGGAGGACAGGTGTGTGACAGGGATAAGTAAAGCTGGAAGGACTGGGTGACTGGGTAGGGAGGCGTGGAAGGAGGTAAGGATCACCCCAAGAATCACTCCAAATAAGGTACACCTTTAAAATAGAAAATAAACAGGGAAGTACAATTTCAAAGGGGACGAGATTAGGTCCCTCGTGGACGCAGTGAGGTGGGGGTGTTTTTCAGTGTCTGTGTCCAGCAGGCTAATGCACAGGTAGGTGTGTGGCTCCCACCGCTGCCGCACCTGAGGCAGCACTGTGGGCGTCATCAGCACGCAGGTGATGGGGTAAAGCCGTTCGCACAGGTCAAACCATCGCAGTGTGGGCCGGAGGGATGAGCTGAAGAGACGGGCTGAGATGATGGATCGCTTTAAAGGCAGCACGGAGTTCCGGGCAGGTCGGCGCAGTGCAAGTAACTGGATTTAAGCCCCAGGCCACCCCAGACACTGAGGCTGGGCGTGGGACCAGAAGGCAGGCTGCCGTCCACCGGGGAATGACTGAGGGGCTCGGCCTCCTCTTGCGTGTCGCCCGTCCACACCCAGCTCCTCCGAGAGCACAGGCAGGAAACGGAAGGATGAGCCCGGGCTGCAGCCCCGGGCGGGTTCGGCTCCACCGCGGAGGCGGCAGCCTCCCCTTTGCATCAATTTCATGATCTGTTAACAGGTTCTCATCCTCAATTTTAAGAACTCAGTCCGAACTTCCAGACTCATTTCCTTTATTTGAGAGTTTGGTTTGGAAACACCGCCCCGCCCCCGCCCGTGATTTAGGGTGAATTCCCTTTTCTAATCGCGCAGCTTCTTGCTTTGGCTGACCTCCAGCTGGGCCCCACCTTTCCGTCGTCGCTTCCCCTAAGGGCCTCTCCTTAGCCTTCCAGGTCCTCGACTCTCCGATCACTGAGCAGTCTCTGGATGCTGGTAACCTGTCAGGCCAACACAAAGGAAACAGATTTGCAAAGTAGGGTTCCGATTTATTGCCCTTCTGAGATTTAAAATGGACCAATAGGATTGTTTCAATCAGGACCCACTAAGAAATTCCAAATGTGACGACGAGGTCGCACAATACACGCAGCTGTCCAGAGAGGTGGTGCTAGTCAAAAATCCACCCTAGCCCTCGGTTCTAGAAAACCAAACCCCTGTTCCTGAAACCCAGGCAGAGGCAGAAAGTGGGTGGGGACAGGGGGCTGGGGTGGATGGGCAGAGAGGTGTTAATTCCATTCTAGCACCCGGGCTTGTGCCCTCTTCCTCAAACTCTGAGGGTGTCAGGATAGCTTTCCAATTCAGGACAGAAATCAGCCCTCTTTCCGCTGTTTGATTGCACGCAGGGTCCTCATTGCAGGCGGGGCCGGCCTCCCACGTGGTCTCTCGCACCAGTCACCCTGGCGTCCCCCGGCCCTTTCTGCACACCTCGGCTCCTCTCGACAGTGACGGTTGTGGCGATCATGCTCAATGTGCATTTGCCATCTCAGAAGAAAAACGGAGGACTGAGAATCCAGGCCCGGAGGCTGGAAATGCGCGTCCCCCGCGGCCCACCAGGTCTGTGCGGCGTCCGGCGGCTGCCGGCTCGGCGGGGGCGGGGCTGCCGCGCAGTGGAAGGCGGGGCCAGGACTCCGCGAGGGCGGGGCGGCTCGGCCTGCGGCGGCCATGACATCCAGGCAGATCCCGGCGCTGGTGGGTGCGGCGCTCGGGGGTCAGCGTCCCGCTGCCCCCTGGCCACGGCCCCTCTGGGTCACAGCAAGGTTCCACCAGCACCCCAGCGTCACCCTCTGCTTTGCTTCTGAGCGAGATCGCGGCGGTGCCGGGTCCCCCTCGCAGGACGGGCCCGTGGGGGCGGAGAGGCTCCCGGCGAGTCAAGAGTTAACCGCGGCAGAGCGACAGATCGCGGACTTGCACGCGGCCGCCTGCGCGGTGAGCCCCCGCCCCCGTCCCGCCCGGTGGCTGGTGCGCCTGCGCTGTGAGGCCCCTCCTGGACGCCCCCCCCCCCGGAGCCCATGCGCCTGCGCGATGAGACTTGTCCTGGCGGGCCTCGGGACCCTGGGGTCCGTGCGCCTGCGCGTCCCAGGCTCACTGAGAGGTTGGGGGACCCCGTGTGACCTGGCCCCTGGCTGCTGACAACACGCACGCTTCCCACCTGTCTTCGCTTGAAAACTGGTCCCGGTCCCTGATCCCGGGCTAAGAGTTAACGTTTGTCCTGAGTGTGAGTCGTCTCTGATCGGTGCCCGAGCTAAATTCCGGCCGTGTGGGACCCATCATCACGCGTGCGTGTGTCTGTGTGTGTGTTATGTGTGGCTCGTGTCCGCATGTGTGTATGTGTGTCTTTGTGTCTGCGTGGGTGTTTGTGTTGAGGCACGGGCGTGCAGGAGTGGATGGAGCTGCGAAGTCACCGGAAAAAACGTGTTGTGCGTTTATCCGCCTGATCAGTCAGACGCCCACCCTCCCATGAGTTTAGAAATGAAAAATCCAACAAGCCCCTCTTTAATTTACCTGATTTTTGTCACCAGCCTCTCGTCCCTTCCCTCCGCTCTCAGGGGCACGATCCCAAAGGAGACTATTGCTGGGCACTCACGTTCTTCCTGGACGAGCTTGAGCTGTTTTCTTCTCTTTGGGGGAACTGGACAATTAATTGCTTGTTAGCATCAATATCAAAACTTAGCGTCTCCCCTCCCGCTTCTGACACCTCGGACTATATGAGTTTAAAGGTAGCATGTTTATATACATATATATATATATTTTATCTCGAGAGAGCAAGTAAGTTCTGTAATAACCTGTTTAATACGTCACGCGGGGCCAGTACTCGGCACGACTGGTGTTACCCGCGCGGCCCGAGCCCGAGGAGCAGACGACAGCCGTTCGAGCCGGCAGGCCCTGAGCACCTGCCTGCCTCCTCCATCAGGCGTTAAACCCCCACAGGGCGTCCTCAGGGAATGACTGCTGTCTTGGGTTCATCTTCCTTCCACTCTTTGTACAAGGACGTGTGACTCCTTCCTGTGCTCCACATAGAAATATGGTAAATATGAACAGACGTGTTCTTTTCAGCGGAAAGGCCCGTGGCATGGGAAGCCAGCTCAGTCGGCCTGGGACAGGAACGAAGCTTTATCTCACTCGGGGGTTCGGGGTTTCTGGGTTTCAGCATTTGTCACAGGCTGACTGTCCGGGGGGCCACAGTAAACCCAGTAAGGAGCTGGTTGTTTTCCTCCTTCCGCAGCCTGAAGCCCTGCCTCCCAGTGGTCCTTCACACACAGCTCCGGGTGGGTCCCTCCCTTCCCTTCCTCCCCGGGCAGGCCCGCCCCACAGAGCATCTGGCTCCCGTCAACCTGTGGGTGCGTTTGTTCCGTCTCTGCTGTCCCCACTACCTGAGGCTCACCCATGAAGACAAATTGAGCTTGGGCGGGCAGCCACAAGCTCCCAGTTTCCCAGCCCACGCAGAAAGGCGGCACGCAGGAGCACTCTGGGAGGCGGCCAGGGGCCCAGGTGGTGGCCCTGGGAAGACCTGGGAGTTATACAGAGTGGAAAGGAGGCTGCTAACAGAGTCTGCTATGTTTTTTGTCTGTTTATCTGTTTTTCTTCTAAGTCTCCAAACACGGACATTGTCAATAAAGTGTGGTCTCCACCGTGGGTCATTTTCAAGTAGCGTGTTCTGCCCCTGGTTTCCTGTCGTCTGCTCCTGGGGTCCCAGAGGATTGGGGAGGCCCCTGGGATGGGTCTCAGGCTTGCTCGCTGGGTCCCCGCTGCGCCGGCAGGGCTTTCCTGGGATGCCTTCGAGGAGACGAAGACTCGAACTCTGCCTGTCCTTCTGTCCCACACTGCATCCACGGAGCACGTTGGATAAAACCTCAACCAGAATAACACATTCAGCCGTGGGAAGACGCTCAGAAGAAGGACTCGGTAGCACACTCGGAAATGGAAGTCCCCTGCCTGTTTGAATGAGAAGGCTGCTGTGAGTGGTGCAGAGGCGCCTTCTGTGAACAAACGGGAGGAAGTCCCTCTGCCAGGAAAACCTCCAGGCTAGAGATAAAGACATCGCCCGCGTGCTCAACATCTGAAGAAGAGGTCGAGTGGTTTCCTTTGCCGTCCCAGCACACGCTCGGGCAGCTCGGGAGACCCATGTTTGGGTGCAGGCAGAGTCCTCGGCTTCTGAGGGGCGGGCAGCAAACTCACGAAGCCGTGTGTGTTGACCTGGTAAAACAATACTTTAGTTTTTGCTGAAAACAGAACTAACGACACCCTTAGAAAAAGGAAAAGAAAATAGTGTAAACTGTTCAATGCGGTCCCACATCACGGAGGCAAAGAAAAGTGTTCCATAATGGTGGAGGTAATACTTTTCTGCAGACTGTTGGTTTCGATTAGCGCCTTTTCTGTGCGTTTAAATCACTTCCCACATATTTGAATCACTGCGATTGCAAGCGCGACTTCTGAGTGAAAGTTCACTTTCAGCCTCTTAAGCTCTTCAGGTCTTCGAAATCACCTGTTGTTCGACTTGGTGCCCGGGAACCAAAGGAAACCCAGGCCGTGGCTGCGCCCTTACTGGGCATAGAGGACCTCTTGTTTCCCCATCCACGTCTCGGGTTTTCTCAGACTGTGTATTTCCCCCTGCTGCCGCCTAAAGCTGGATTGCGCATAATGTTGGAATGCGCGCCCTCGGTCACGGCCACGGGCCTCCGTAATTGCCGGCAAGACCTTTCATACTGTTTAAAGAAAATTTTGCAGAATGTTGTTGTGAGTAGAACGTGGGAGGAGGAAGGTATGACGAAGGTTGCGATGGGTGAATTGTCTTATTTGTGACTCTCCAGGCCGGCCAGCTCAGCTACCTGGACCCGGCCACCGGCTACGTGGTGCTGACGCAGCTCGCGCACGCGCGGAGGGGCTGGTGCTGCGGCTCTGCCTGCAGACACGTGAGTAGTAAACTCTCGCCTTACACCAGTAGTTTGCAGTGCCTCTGTGCCTTTATAAATGCCTGTTATTTGAAAAACAGGTCAAATAAAAAAGCTAAATAGACCCGGAGTGCACTTTTCACAAGCTCCTTTAGCCAGGGACAACGAAGTCCTTAGGACTGGCACGGGACCTTTCCACTTAATGGGGTTTTGGTGACGTGCGCGGTGACTTAGGTCCCTGAAGTGCCGAGGTGTGCAGTCCGTGGGAGCTCTTTCTCACAAGGAAACTTGTCGCGGGTTTTACCTGGGCCGTGCTCAGCAGGTGAGCCCACAGAGGGCAGGAAAGGGGAGCCAGAATATTACAAACTAGGTCCCAGAAAACATTTCTCTTTGTTATTGACAATAAATGGACACCTGCCTAGTGTTGAGAGGTGGATTTAAATGATAAGGATTTTCTTTCTTTGTTCCTCTTTCTCCCCCCCCCTTCTTCCCTCCTTTCTCTCTCTCTTCTTCCTCCTCTTTTCTCCTCCTTCCCCTCCTCCCTCTCCTTCTCCTTCTCCTCTCTCTCCCCCACCTCTGCCATCCTCTGCCTGCAGCCATGACCCCCGCTATCCCCAACTGTCCCTTTCCTGAAATGTCTAGTTCAGTGATTCGGATGTGCACGGAGTCAGATAAACTAACTGCTCCTTCCCTGTTCTGAGCGAAACATAAATGGGAATGGATTCTCCACGGTAACTTTCCGAAAGCCTGCTGTGGTCAGGGAAGTTGTTACAGAGGTGAGATTGTGTGCAGGTGACGCCCTCTGTCCCCAGACCTCCGGGACTGGGTGTTTTGGAGCAAGAAGGTTTTCCTGTAACGGACCCGCTTTGTGACTAAGGAGCACACACTAGGTCCGCGCACCAACGGCAGCCAACATTGAAAAATCAAACCTTCACTTCTGCGCATGTCCCTGCCTGCACCGTTCTCTGCGTCTGATGAAGTGCACACGAGTTTTGCATACCCTGGGGACTTGGGGATTTTCCAAGAGCGAGTTATCCAGAGTAGAATCTTGAAGTTGGAAGGGTGCTTTCAGGAAATGATTCGTGGGCCCTCGTGAGGAGTGTTTGTCAGAGTTCCCGTTGTTCTGCTGTTCACCTGCAGGACCCGGTAGATCGGACGACCTTTATGACCTTCCTGGCCGCCCCTTCTCTCCACGGTGAGGAGCGTTGCGCTTTTCCAAGATGACCGCTACGTAACTCAGTGATGATTTGTTTGATCTCTCCCGCAGTGTCCGTACGGCCAAGTCAACGTCAAAGATCCAGCCAAGAAGAAGCAATTCAATTCCTATTTTTACGTTTGACAAGAATGTCATCTCTGTTCTCCTGCATTAAACCTTATTTAAAGAAACCAGCACCCCAACCCAGAACGGTTCTCTGCCTCTCAGTGCTTGAGCGCCAGGCCCATCGTAAGGGTATCTATGAAAAGGACATCGATACAATGAAAAAGCTAGCACGCGTTGGGGTATTGATAGTTATTTTTCTTTTTGCCTCCCTCACTATCGGACACATATGTTGAAGAAAGAAAATAGCGAATGTTCCATTCAATAAAGACTAGAACCCGGTGGCACCGGTCCCCCCTGAATTTTCCCGAAGCCTCCGTACTGTCTGCTGTTTTTCCCCCGGGGTCGGCAGCCCCGCGGAGGGAGGGGCCGGCAGCCCCGCGGAGGGAGGGGCCGGCAGCCGGGAGCGTTTGGAGACAGGCGCCGTTTTATTTATATCCTGAGCTGCGTGCCCTGCCGCTCAGCACCTGAGTGGCCGGGAAGTGCCGTTCCTTCGGCGACAAGAACGGCGCTCATCTTCCATCTGTTCTCTCAGTGAAAACTCAATCACTCTCACTCGGGGGTCAGGCCACTGAAGACGCCTTGATTAAAGCGCGCTTTCTTCTCCCCCCACGTTTCACTCCTCCGTTCCCTGTGCATCTCCCAGGCGAGTCTCTCTCTACACCCCTCCCAGCCCCTGCTGGGTAGACCCCCAGCCCCCCACCCGGCCCCCCATCGTCTCCAGCCTGGGCCAGGCCTCAGGGACTGTTCTTTGGGGACTGCCCTCCCTCCGCTCACCTCCTCCGCTTCCTGCCGAGGACCCGGCCCCCGGGCAGCCTGTCCTTGCCCACGGAAGGCTGGCTGGACCCGGAGTGGGTCCTCGGCCTCTTCCCCAGGAGGATCTGGAAGGGTCTCGAACACCCAGGGGTCTGTCTTGGTCCCTGCCTGTGGCCCCGGGAAGGACCTCAAGGAGCCAAAAGGGTGTGTGCCTTCTTCCGTGTGCGACCCAGAAGGAGAGCGCTTGCGAACCGTAAAATAGGTGAACAGAAGCCCCGTGAGGTTTTCCTCTTCCCGCGGACGGTGGCTTCTGTGGCACGGTGCGGCAGACATGACACTGCCTCCCCAGCGTGGCCTCCTGGTGCCCCGGGGTTTGCCGGTGCCGGTCCTGGGAGCCCGTGTGGTCTCCGAGGCCCGTGTCGCCCTCTCCGGAAGGGCTGGGGTGGCGGACAGGAGGAGGGGGGTCCACGTGGTGATCCTGGAGGCTGCAGCCGCCTTCCCCCCGGGGAAGGGTGGTGGGTTCCTGGGAGCCCATCTCTCTTCCATTCCCAGGGGGGCAAGGAACAACTGTTTTTGGGGTGGGGGGCGGGGTGCTTGGGGGGGGGGGCTGCTGCCTTTCACAGTCCCAAGAGGGAGAAGAGAAAAAGCCAGAGTCCAAAAAGCCCATCTTTCTGGAGACATGAGAAAGGGGACAGGGCGTTCATTCTGAAAGGCAGCCGCCTACCCAAGAGAGACAGCGTTTTGAAGAAACCCCCTGGCAGCTGGAAATAACTTGGGGGACTCGGCCCCCTGGCAGGCTCTGCCCCAGAGCGCTTCCTGCGGGGAGCAGAGCCGGAGCGGCAGGGAGTCCGGACGCCCGTCACCGAGGACCCTTGTGGGGGCCGCCTGGACTCCCGCGGGCAGAGCCTCAGGCTTTCCTGGCGGCAGGGCCGAGGAGCCGCTGCTGGCCGCCGCGGTCTCGGTGGGAGGGTGGGGGTGGGGCGGCCCTACTGGTTCCTGCTTCTGCCGTAGGAGCCTGAGCCGGGGTCTGCGCTTCTCTGTGGTTCTGGGGGGGATGCTTGTGAACCGCACGTCAGCGCTGGCGCGGGCGGGGGGCTCCCACAGTAAACACGACGGTATGACCACATACACGGGCCTCGCTGCAAGAGGGCGAGCTGCGTTGCATCCGCACATTGCAAAGTGAACATCCAGGTTTCTTGTTGGGCGTGTGTGCACCCAGGCGCAGGCGGGCGCCCGGAGAGACAGGCTTCCCGGTGCCGACCGGCTGGGGAGCTGCCCCCGCTTCCAGGTTTCTGGAGACCCCTGCCGCCAGGCGCCATAAATCAAGGGGGTCGATGTCTAGACTGTTTCTAACACGAGAAACCACAAGGAAGCCGGGGGATCTCGCGGTGGGGCTTACGGGGTGGGGGTGGGGAGAGACTCCTGCGGCAGTGGCTGGTCCCCTCCTGGGCAGGGGCGCTGCCCTCTCTGCGTCTTCCAGCAGGTGGATTAGACGCCACCCCCCCCCCCACCTCGAAAAGCCAGGTTATTAAAAAAAAAAGAAAAATAGCGCCCCCGCACCTGCGGTGAAGCTATGGACTCCCAGACCATATGTATTTGGAACACGAGGGGCCCGGGGGCCCCCTGGGCCCCGCACGGGGCTTTGTTCCACCGCAGCCCCCTCATCCCAAGGCGCCCGCGAGGTTAGCTCCGCACGCACGCGCGCGCGCGGCCCCGCCGCCAGGCACCCGCCGCGCCGGGGCCAAGCTCCGGAGGAGGCTGGGGCGGCGGCTCCGCGCCAGGCCGGCGGCAATCCGCTCGCTGCCTCCCTGGCGGCGCTCCGAGACCTCGCTCTCCCTAGCCGGCCCAGAGGTCCCCCCGAACTGCCCACCCCAACGCCGAGCCAACGCCAGCCAAGCCGCCGCCTCTAGACGGGAGCAAAGGCGTGCGTGTGGGGACTGGGCACCTGCCCACGGTGGGGGCTTAAAACTCGGGGCAATTTTTTTTTTCGCTTCCTGGCAGCAGTTAAAAGGTACTTCTGCCCAAACTATCCCCTCCACTCAGAAAAAAGAGCAAGGCATATTTACGTGTGTGGCGGTGGTGTGTGGTGGGGGGGGGTGGTGAGCACCCCAAACACCTCGGTGGCCACCCTGATTTCTAGAAAAGGCTGTGAAAGGACCCGCCGCTCTTCAGTTAGGGGTCGGGGGTCCCTGGGACGCCCAGCCTACCCAGGCCCTCTGGACGCCCAGCCTGCGCGGCAGCGCCCCGCGCAGGGTAGACCCGCGTCCCCACGAACGGTTTCAAGGTTAAGCTCAAGACCCCAAACGGCCAGACTCGCGGAGCCCTCTTCCTGAGACTCCGGGGGTCAAGGCCTGTGAACCCGGAGTCCTGGCTGGAGGCGGATTGGGAGGTTCGTGACGGCTTCATCTTCCCACCCGAAATTTGTATTCTGAAGTGTGCGCGCCCGTGCGCGCCCGCGCGTGTGTAGAATGGATGTTTACCAAATACTTAAAATGGTTCATCACCCAAAAGTGGGGGCGGGGGGGGAGAGAGGGAGGGAGAGCTGCTTTGGACAGGGATGAATAAGAACACCCAAGCGTTTTCGGGTGGGTGTCGCCATCCATCCACCCATCCCATGGCCTCGCCAGCGACCACAGCCACAGAGCCCGGGAGGCTTGTTGCCCCCCTGGCCGACGAGACGCGGGAAAAGGGGGGGGGTGTTACCGAGGGGAGAAAAAGCTGGGGAGGCCGGGATGGGAGGGAGAGTCGGGGTGAGGGGGCCTTGGAAGACGAACTAGCGGACTCGCTGGCTGGTGAGATCGGTTGGTGAAGCCAAGTAAGTGATCGGGTCGGATGGCGAGAGGCGCCCTGTCTGGGTCCCGAGCCGCACGGGGGATTGGGGGCGGGAAGAGGAAGCCAGAGGGCTCGGCTCCGTGGCTCCTGCAGAACCCCTCGCCAGCCCTAAACCGCCGAGCCGGGCTGGTCGCCGGCAAAGAGGTGGGTCCGCCCCCGCCCAGCCCCACCTGCCCCACACCCCGTGTTGTTACCGCGCGCGGCTCGCAGGCGCGCGGGCGTCCCCAGCTCACCGCGCGGCGGACAAACGCACAGCGCAGGAGCCGCTGTAGGGACACCGGGAGGGGCGGGCGGGGACAGTGGCATCGTCACCCGGGCCGCATCCTGAAGCTGCCAATCTCGCTGCTCACACCCCCTGCCACAGCCGCGCGGGAGCCTCGCGGTGATCCCGCGCCCCCACCCCCCGCGGCGAGGGCGCGCTGGGTCGGGGAGTGGGTAAACCATCGGCCAGAGGCCCGGGTTCTCCGACCGCTTCCCGTGGCCGGAGTTGCCCGGGGCTGCTGGGGCGACGCAGACCCTCGGGCACCCGAGAGCAGGGAACACGACGGACTCCTCCGCCGGTCCAGGGTCTGTAAGTCGGTCTGCGCGCCACGCTCCCCACCCCCAGGCTCGTCTCCCCGGGTTTGAGTCGGTCTACCGCCCCACCCCACGCCCCCCGCGAAAGTTAATGGCCATCTCCACCTCCTTGCTTTTGGCCAGCACGTAGACCCCCGTCAACGCCCCGCCGAGCGCAAAACGCACCCTCAAGAGCTGGGCCTCCGCGCCCCGCCCGGAGCGCTGAGTGATGAAGGACCTGGGGGGCGGGGGCTGGGGGGCAGGAATGCGCGGTGATCAATCAACGGCTTGGCCCAGCTCCCCGCACCAGCTACCGCCCCTCGCCGTCTAGGCAGGCTCGGCTGCCGGTGGCATCTGCTAGGTGGGAGCTCGGGGGAGGGCCACGGCGGCTGGGGAGCCGAGCCCAGGGCGCGCCGCCGGACCTCAGCCCCCTGTGGCGCCCAAACCTCAAGATGCTGGGGCTTTATGAGGTTCTGTAACGGCGAGGCCTCCATTAACACCTCCCCGGATTACTGAGAGGCTGGAAGGGCGGGACTCGGACTCGGAGAGCTTATCCGGGCGCCGGCCCGGGGGTCCCTCTTCCCACCCCACCTCCTCCCCTTCTCGAGATGGAAGCATAAACAGAAAATAAAAGACAGGTGGAGAGAGCTGCCGGCCAGAGGTGAGGGATGAGAGAGAAAGAGAGAGAGATTCCCGTCCAACGGCTCACGCGGTGTATTTATTTGGATTAACAGAGGAGCCCTCGGGAGACCCGGGGACCGGCCAGCACCTCCGGCCGCCGCCTCCCGACCTCCCTCGCCCAGGTTCCGGGCGGGACCTTCTGACTTCCAGGTGAGACCGCGATGGCGGGGGCGGGGGCCTGGCGGGGGCAGTGTTCTGCCCTGGGCGGGCACGGCAGGCCGGAAGCCCCGAGCATCCCGGCACCCGCGGGCACCCGAGGCCGCCCCGGGTAACGGTCCGGCTGACCCCGTAGGCGGGAGGAGGCGCGGGCCCCCCACCCCACCCCCCGCACCGCGGGGCTGACGCGCGGCTCCTCTCTGTAGCTCGGGCACCATCCGGGCGCCATCAGCCCCTTCGGCGCCGAGGATGCTGAACGGCACGACGCTGGAGGCAGGTGAGCGGTGTGCCCGGGTCCTCCTCGTTTTCTCTGCCCCTTCCC